AGGCTATACGCGACCAAAGCTTACGATGCCTACGTTCACAGGGACCGACCCGGACGCGTTGTTAAATCGAGCCATGCAATTTTTCGAGATCAATGACGTGCACAAGTCCGAGAGAGTCAAGATCGCCGCTTATTATCTTGATGGTGAAGCAAACACTTGGTGGCAATGGGTGTCACATGTGTACCAAACCAAAGGCGAGCACATTCGATGGAGAGATTTCGAGAGGAGTGGGTCACACGATTTGGCACGAGTGACTACTATGACTATGACGATGCGCTCTCCCGAATTCTTCAAAACGGTAGCCTCCGAGACTACCAGAAGGAGTTCGAACGCATTGCAAGTCGGGTACGAGACTGGCCCGAGAGCGCATTAGTAGGCGCATTCATTGGAGGACTGAAAGCCGAGCTAGCGGCTGAAGTAAGGTTGGACAGAACAAGGTCCACACGAGCGGCCATGGAATCCGCGCGACTGTACGAGTATCACATTGCGAGGGACGTACGGATGCACGGTGCACGGGCACCGCGACCGATGAGACACCTCCCCGGGCTGAGACCAAGCCGACCGAGGATGGCACGTGAACCACGAGCCACATGCGACGACTTACGACTGAGGAGATCCAACGAAGGTGCGAGAAGGGCTTATGCTTTACTTGCAACGAGAAGTTCACACCGGGCCATAGGTGTGCGGGTAAGCAAGTGTTCTTGCTTGAGTTTGATGAGGATGAGCCGAAGCATGAGGAATACGAACAAATGGAGCGAAACAAGACCTTGCTACATGTGATTAAGAGAAAGAAGAGAGAAGTAGAGAGAGGTCCGAAGATGATACGGTTCATAGCAATTGTACAAGGCGAAGAGCTGGAAGTGCTAGTGGACAGCGGTTCAACACTAAATTTCATAGACAAAGAGTTGTCCAAAGGGTTGAAGACGCCAGTGACGAACATAAAGCATTTCGGGGTAAAGATTGCAAACGGAGAAGAACTCAGAAGTTCCGAGCTATACAAAGGAGTTCCCATATTTGCACAAGGCTATGACTTAAAGGTTGATCTTTATGCCTTACCTTTGACGGGACCAGACATAGTACTTGGAGTTCAATGGCTCGAGACGTTGGGATCTGTCACGAAAAACTACAAGAAGGGCACTATGGCATTTGGACGAGCCCAGAAGCGAGTCAAGTTACAAACTGAGGATCCAGGAGAAGAGCCCGAAGAAGTTGACGAGATCAATTTCATAATCCTTGAGGACAAGAAGATTCTCAAAGAGGGCGGGAATGATGAAGATGTGGTCATTGACCCTGGCGAGCCCGAGGACGATATCCATGATGGCCTCGAAAAATGGCGAGAGGTTAGGCGAGAAAGGGCTCGAGGACGTGCTAGAAGGGTGTGCGCACGCACTAAGGTGCGCGTACCAACGGGACGCGGTAACCGAGCCGCGAGGCGTGCGAGTCTAGGCCAAGTGAAGAAGAGGTGCGCGACGGGAAGTGCGTGTGAACATGAGGCTTGGGCCGACGACGAGAGTGAGAAGGTAGTGCCCGGGAAGTTGGGCGATTGGTGCAAGGCGTGCGCAAGAGATAGACATGCACGGCGTATGCGGGCTAAGGCAAATGGTGCACGAGGGGAGGATGTAGGGTGGACAGCGTGCACTCGGGACGGCTGCGATGGCATGGATGCACGAATGGATTGGGGTGTTGCGATAGGCCCGACGAACGGGTGCGAGCGGGGCGCGATGGCAGGAGTCACGCGCGAGGTGCTGGTCGAGTGGGACGATGAGGTCGACAGGGCGAGTGTGCGCGACAATCGTGCAGGTGGCGAGAACGCGCGAGGAGCGATTGGCGAGCGAGAGAGGGACACCGAGAGAGCAGGCGTGCACGACACTCGCACGAGGGACGAACACGCACAGGCGCTGGGGCGCGAAGACGCGACGCAGAAAGGGCGCGCGCGTACGGCTGGGACGCGGGCGATGCCTAGCGCGACCAGGACTAGAGGGTGGTGCGAATGCACGGACAGCTAGGGTTTTGGCGCACGACGACTTGGCGGGCAAGCAAAGGATTTGGGCGTGATTTACTTAGCATAGTTAGGAGTATTAGTTTGGTTAGGAGTCCAAATAAAAGGCATGTGCCTATTAGTCTTTTAATTGTTAGGAAAGTCTTTATTCCCAAGATGTTTAGTTGCATTAGGATTTATTTACTTGCATAATTTAGGAATTCTATTTAGACTAGAATTGGATCTATTTGGTATCTATAAATACCCACCTATGTACCATTCGAAATTATGGTTGATGAGTGAATAGAAAAGTCGAACATTGTGTTCAAAGTTCTCGTGTGTTTTCTCTCGTGAGTTTACATAGAGTTCGTGATAGAAATAGGACCAACATCCACGTTTCGTCACAGTGATTGGAATAGGACCAACATCCGAGTTTTGTCACATTTATTGTGAAGTACGAAGGCGTCGGCGCGCGTATTAGCAACCTAACGCAAAGGGACTAAGGCATCGGCGCGGGTTTCGAGCAAATCGAGCTAGACGTAACACACGATCCTTCATCACACGGGCACGGCACGCGCGACTGGCGCGGCTGGCTACCCTAGCCGGTCCTTCGCCGAACTTCCGGCAACTAATCCGGTGACTACCAACCCAAATCAACTCAACATGATAAATGACACATAAAAATGCCAAGAATAACTATGAGACCTCGGTTGGATTTGGAGATAGGCTTATGGGGCCGATTAGGCACGAGGCCACACTAGGGCACGAAAATGAACATGCTCAACATGCAATATGACTTAGGGTCGAATGATACACATCAAAAATCAATGTTATTGAGGCTAGGACATTGGCTATAACATGCATGCATATAGACTTGGGTTCAGAGGTGAAAATGGCTCGATTTCACTTAACGAATTGACCGAACGAATTGACTTAGGGTCGAATGATACACATCAAAAATCAATGCTATTGAGGCTAGGACATTGGCTATAACATGCATGCATATAGACTTGGGTTCGGAGGTGAAAATGGCTCGATTTCACTTAACGAATTGACCGAACAAATGAACTCAAAGCATGCTAATCTTTTAACCATGTCATACTCATGATTTTTGAGGATTTTTAAGCCATCAAACTCGGCCATACCATGCATGTACATAAACTTACGAAATTAGGGCTCAAATGTTCAAAACTTCGGAACTCCATCATATGAACATGCATGGCATCATTTTTCCACATGATAATTCTTATTTTATCATAAATAAGCTAGAAAAAATACAAGTCACGAGCTAGCCTTGCTTGAACTCAAGAATGGGCGAAGGTGGCCTTGGCTCGAGTCTACTCGCGGCTTGGTCCTTAGGTTCAGCTTGGAGGCTAAATTGGTTGAGCGAGGTAGACTCAAAACACTTCAAAAAATCCAAATGATATTTGGAAGATGCTAAGCTTTGAGAGAAATGGCTGGAGCAAGATGAACACGAGTCCTCCCTCACGGCCCTAACTTGCGCGTGAGTGGCTTGGGAGCCTTCCTCTCGGCTTCTCTCCAATTCTCTCTAAATTCCAAGTGTTATGCTCGAAAAATATGAGTGTCCAAGAGCTCTAACACTCAGCTTAAGGTGAGGTATAAATGGGAGCTGATGGGCGGAGCACACAAGGCTTCAAGTGGGGGACATGCTTCATTTCCAAGCGCATAAGGGTTGGGGAGAATCTTGGACTTGTTGGCCTGACTTCACCACGTTTTAGGAGCATCTTGTAGAGTATAATATGATGGGGAAGTGGCCTGGTCGAGCTCCCATGAAGTGGGGGACAAATCCTTAACCCATATGCATTAGAATATTATCTTGCACATGCATCATTTTGCAGCTACTTGTGATGCCATATGCTTAATCTTAATTAGGGCTAATTTTGCTTAAATTAACCCTTAAGAAGCTGTTAATAACCACATGATATTTGGCTTAAAAGATATGGGTTGGAACTTAAGCATTTGGGCTCAAAAAGTGGGTTGTGCACGCTGCCGCTGGGCCTGGCGCGAGGAACACGGCCGCGGCACTGCTGGGCTGGCCCGAGGCGACGAGCTGGGCTGGCTGCTGCGCGCGAGATGATCTTGGGCCGAGCTTGCTCCACACTTAAAGCTCAAATGATGGCTGATCGTAAGTGTTGCCAACACTTAGAAAAATTCTTGAACTTGCCATGACTTGGGCGCGACATGGAGTGGGCTCGCGCGGCACTTGGGCGCGACCCTTGGCTACATGGACCGCAATTAGACGTGAAGACTGCATTTCTTCACGGAGACCTAAATGAGGAGATCTATATGCACCAGCTTGAAGGTTTTTCAGAAGGAAAGAAGGATATGGTGTGCAAATTGAAGAAGAGCTTGTACGGCCTGAAACAAGCTCCAAGACAGTGGTATAGGAAGTTTGAAAGCTTCATGCACAAGGAAGGTTTCCAGAAGTGCAATGCTGATCACTGTTGTTTCTTCAAGAAGTATGAGTCCAACTATATCATCTTGCTACTTTATGTTGATGATATGTTAGTAGCAGGATCAGATATGAAAGACATTAGAAAATTAAAGATGCAGTTGTCAAAAGAATTTGACATGACGGACTTAGGCCCAGCAAAGAAGATTCTTGGAATGCAAATCACGAGAGATAAGCAAAAAGGAGTTTTGCAGTTATCTCAGGCAGAGTACGTCAACCGTGTTTTGCAGAGATTTAACATGGATAGGGCTAAGCCAGTCAATACACCTTTGGCCAGTCATTTTCGTCTATCCAAGGACCAGTCTCCTCAAACAAAAGAAGAACAAGAGTTCATGGCTAAGATTCCTTATGCTTCAGCTACTGGAAGTTTGATGTACGCTATGGTTTGTACGAGGCCAAACATTGGCCATGCAGTGAGAGTTGTTAGCAGGTTTATGTCAAAGCCAGGAAAAGCTCATTGGGAAGCAGTCAAATGGATTTTGAGATATCTACGGGGCACAACAGATAGTGTTGATTGGTTTGGCATCGTCTTATTTGCTTAGTTTCCTTATTTGTTGGAAATTTGAATTAAGTCTTTCAATCTAGTGCTCTGAATTGATTCTAAATGCTCATGACTGGCATATTTCTTATGGAGCTGACTGCAGACAGTGAAGTGTGTAGATTATTTCCAAGCAGAGGATGGACCTAGAGAGTGGCAACACACGCATTTCCACAAAGTGGATACAAACACTGGACAACTCATTGATATTGCGATGCTTAGAAGTTAAACACAAAGAGGTGAGACTATTGTCTAAAATTTACATCAACCACAATTGTCAAACATTTAAAAGTAGACTTATTTGGATTCAAATCATAGATAAATAATCGAACAATCATAGATCACATTGCCTACTTAGAATGTTATGCAAGATTCAAGCAGATTGTTGTGGACTAATGATTGGAAAACTAGAGGTTTCTGCATTATATATGAATATAAGTAATGTATCACTTTCATCTGCAAGCAAAATATCCATTGTCTTCCCTAACGTTAAACATTGGACCTTTCCTGAAAATATATGATGCATGCATTTGCCTTTATTTTGTAGCCAGAGGAACCCCCGTTATCTGTTTTGCACGTTCAGTATCCTGAATGGCCTGATCATGGAGTTCCGATAGACACTCTTGTTGTTCGTGAAATCTATAAGAGAATATCTAATGTCCCGCCCAATCTCGGGCCTATTGTTGTTCACTGCAGGTTTGCCTTTTGATTGTGAGTTAAAGTAATCATAGAAATTAATATTTATAGTCTAACCTTTTTTTCTTTCACAGCGCTGGTATTGGTAGGACTGAAACATATTGCGTTATCCACAATACAATCCAGAGGGTTCTTATGGGTGACATGACTGCTTTGGACCTTGTTAATACCATAACCACTTTTAGGTCACAGCGTATTGGAATGGTGCAAACTATCGTACTGTATTCTTGATACTTCATAATTCTTAAACTACTTATTCTTTCTTTTTTATATAGGGCTGCTATATTATAAATTCTTGGTGATTTAATTTAAATCTCCAATTTCAAATTGTTGTCAATATTATATTTTGTCTGCATTCACTACTTAAGGTACGTTTTGAAAATCGTTTAACATTTGACTGTATCTGCACATTGTATCTTGCAGGAGCAGTACTTGTTCTGCTATGATGCAATTATCGATGAACTCGAAGACCTCACTACAAATGGCGAGACTCAGGGCAGTTTATAAGGATATTATTCTCCATTTGTATTATTAGTATACAGAAATGTAATTCATTCAAGTCTCCTCTTTACTAGAATTTGGAGAAAAGGCATTCTCTGATTCAATCACGATTCTTTAGGACTAATAACAAGCCGTGACAGCTAAGAGTAATGGTATTTTCGGATTTATGATTGATGCTCAAATTGTGTAAATTGATGAAAGTTCTATTAAAAAATTGGAATCTTTTGATGGCGATGTTTGTCGATGTTCATGCCTTGATGCTGAACTCGAAATTGTTGATCGTGTTTTTCCCATNGAAAAGGCATTCTCTGGTTCAATCACGATTCTCTAGGACTAATAACAAGCCGTGACAGCTAAGAGTAATGGTATTTTCGGATTTATGATTGATGCTCAAATTGTGTAAATTGATGAAAGTTCTCTTAAAAAATTGGAATCTTTTGATGGCGATGGTTGTCGATGTTCATGCCTTGATGCTGAACTCGAAATTGTTGATCGTGTTTTTCCCATTGTATTTACATCATGTAGTGTTCCTGAATGCTAGTACCTTCAGGATGTTCACATACTATAATGCGCTCACAAATTTTGCTTATCTAAAGTTGCGGTGAAATCATGAAATCAGTGGCCGGCTGTAACTAAAAGTTTCAATTTTTGAAAACTCAACGAAGAAAGAAAAAAATGAGAATTCGCACAACGGTCTACTGCTTCTTTTGTGGTTGATGCAAATACAAACACCTTCGCTATGAAATTTTCTGCCTACTCAGTGAAATGTTTATGGCAAAAAATACTCTTTATAATTTATATATTAACCAGGCCAGATTTGGAATCAATCAAACCATTATGAGAAGAACAGTACAACACCAAGAATAATTGTAGGAATCATCTTGTCAGATGGAGTAATTTACTGCCTAATGTAACCTTAGTTCTCCTCACTCCTTTTTCTTCATATGATAAAACACAAATAACATAACTAAAGAAATAGAAGCACAAGGCCAAAATATAATTCATCCAAAAATAGACTCTCATCATGAAAAATCCCCTCGTGCAGAAGGCACATACCCTGCTCACTCCTCTTTACTATGAGCTGTTCTTGCACGATGCCTGAGCTCAGCCCTTTTCCATCGTACATCAGATACAATCAGATAACACAGTGAAAACAAAGTGTTCACCTATAGACAAAACAAAAGTGCCAATGAGG